GATCTGCCAAACTGCTGGCAGCAGAAGTAGCCTGCAGTACTGCACTCTAACCACTGCGCCACCGCAGTGCGTTAGATATAGTAGAGCTAAAACATTCCACCTTTTGCACCAATCTTTGTAGAGGCTTTATGTCGGCCTTTTCTTTATTTTTCATTGAAATGTACAAATTGGGCCTTTTGAGTTCTACAGATCAATTTGGGAGTCATGAGAAGCTCCTTCAAATAAGTGCTAATTCAAGCATGGAAATGAGATTTCCAGATTCTCTCAGGATGCTGATCCCTTTCTGGTTCATATGATTGTTACAACCCAGTTCTAATTCTTGGATGAAACTTAGCTGACGTCCCTGTAATACAGAGTTGGTTTAGTTCCAGGCCCTTAGCTTGTCTGGTAATACTGCTTGTTCCAAAACTAAGGTACAGCTACTATGTGAACCAGTGGTGGGATTCAATTTTTTTTTACTACCGGTTCTGTGGGCGTGGCATGGCTTGGTGGGCGTGGCAGGGAAAGATACTGTAAAATCCCCATTCCCTCCCGATCAGCTGGGACTCGGGAGGCAGAGAATAGATGGGGGTGGGGCCAGTCAGAGATGATATTTACCGGTTCTCCAAACTACTTAAAATTTCCACTACCGGTTCTCTAGACTTGGTCAGACTTGCTGAATACTACCTCTGATGTGAACTCCTTGAGAGAGAGAGAAATGAAATGAAATAGCATTGGTTGTTTCCATGTGAGTTTTGCTAAAAACTGCTTATAGAAGCTACATCCAATGTTGCGCAGGACTTTTGGACCATACAAAAAGTAAAAAACTAAGTCCTGCTGCCAAATATGTACATGTAGTCCTTGACATACAACAGTTTGTTTAGTGACCATTCAAAGTTACAACAGCACTGAAAAAAGTGACTTGTGATCATTTTTCACAGTTACAACCTTTGTTGTCAGATGTTTGACAACTGGTTCATACTTACGATCATTTCTCTGCCTTAAGGTCATGTGATCACCTTTTGAATAAAAGCAAAGTCAATTTCGGAAGCCAGATTCACTTAACAACCACGTTACTAACTTATCAACTGCAGTGATTCACAACAACTGTGGCAAGCAAGGTAAGAGCCGAGGTGGCACAGTGGTTAAATGCAGCACTGCAGGCTACTTCAGCTGACTGCAGTTCGG